AATTTTAGTTTCTGTGGTGGTAGGTTTCGCAATAAATCCTAAGACGATGAGATGGGATAAGTCCTGTTTTCTGCATCGAATGGTTGCGAAAAAGTCAATCATTTGGTTCACGACTCACGAGGAATATGTTAAAATTATTCAACCCGGTGAAGAAACTTATGCATTTTTGTATTTTTCATGAAATTAAAGAATTCTCATGGTTTCATTGATGCAGGTATAACGTCAGCTCATCGGGCCGCCCTGTTCACACTGTACTTGTTCATTAATTTCTCCAGAATGATTCATTCTTGATTCACGTGGCCCGGTGATCTAGCTTTTCTTCCGTGACTAGAAGGGGTTGTTCTGATACGAATAATTCCTTACTACTACCAGCCTCGGGTAAACGTTTTATAGACGATGATAAAAAATATATACGTTAAAAAATGACTATTGATTTACCATTCCAAACGAGAACATTTTATTCCCATTTGCATGTATACTATGGTAAAAAAAATATACTAGACAAAATCAGTAACTGAATTTGGCGTCAGGATAATTGGACGTTCAATTAAAGCTACCATTTTGCGGTATGAGTAATCCATTTTACTTTAAATTGGGTCTAATCTGGTGTGCTCAGTAGTTGTTTACTTAGTCCTGTGTGGTAATAAAGGGCAGTCATTCTTAAATAAACGTTAGTTCGGTTTTTATATCTCAGCCAAATGCATGTCTAAAGTGTCGTGTTTGATTGCAATCGGTTAATCTCCTTGGAGAACCGCGCAAGTAAAAGGTTGTATGGTGAGCAAACTGCTGCAAAAAAAATCCAATTTAAGGTTGTAATTTTACGGCCACTAAATGCCGAAGGGCATGTATTTTTAAAACAATGAGACATAATACGTTGGCCTCCAAAAACTAGACGTTTCGTCTTGCTTGAGCTGCATGATTAGTCCCGTGGAACGTCGTCTTATCGCTCTCTCTACAGTTACCAAATTCACTCTGAAAGTCCACCAATCTGACGCTTTTGGAATCTCGTATGAGATCAGTGAAATTGTAGGAAGGTTAATTTGAATCTTCTCCGCATGGGCATAAACTGGAAAACAAGCATGTTTCAATTTAGGGTTTTTTGTCCAGCAATAATCCAGCTAAGCGTCCTTTAGCCTGAAATCATGTGACGATCAATTGCTTTTTGTAGTCCAGTAGACCAGCTATAATGTTAAGCCCCTCCGGGCCTATGCGCTCCATCATAATTATAAGCATTCAAGATAAAGAATAAAAGATGACCTACTGATAGGACTGTCTGCCACTAACGGAAACTTCTTTCTGAAACCACCAACAAATCACAATTGAATGTTTTTCCCAAAAAAAGCTTCGCCTTCCCGTACTTTTTACTTTTTATATGCATTTAAACATCTTCCGCATACAAAAATATGATAGAGTAGAATGGAATTTTTAAAAACTTTTTTTAAAAGGCTTTAGAACAGGCAGGAGAATCCTATCTCACATGGTTGTTTTCATCCTTCTCCCTGTAAGCTAAAGCTTTTTACCCTCGTCTGCTGATGTAGAAACAATATGTAGAGAGATCGGCAGGACGTTGCCCCGCACTGAACTTAGATGCATCCACTTTAAGTCTTAACCCGAATTGCTGCTTGCTGTGTTTATCAACCTAGACATCTGATAAACCACTACACGCTGTTTTACTCCCGTCTTTTCATTGGGCAGTAAACACTGGGTATAAAGCGTAGATGGCGTAAGGCCATTTCAGGTTGCTTTTTGGTTTAGAATCCCTCCAAGGCAATCTCATCTTCATGACTTCTGCAATTTGATTTTTCCATGCTCTCTCATCTCTGGAACCACAGGGGATGGGTGACTGGAGTGTAACAAAGACTGACTGTGATTTTGCACTCATGCTCTCATAAATAAATCGATTATCATAGTCAACATCCGATATATCAAACATGTTCTTAAAAATGAACCAATTCAGCGGACAGCTGTGGTTAACATGAAAACTGGTTAAACTTGATTGTTTGGATTTCGAGTGTTACTTTGTCTACGATACTTGGGTTAAAATAATAAGGTGAGATAGTAATACACATTCAGATTACAGCAGTGGACATAAATTAGACTGAAAAACGGCCTCTCTTAGAGAAATCAATGAAATGAATATTTGATCATTTGACTAAGTAATTAAATATGTGCCATAGTAATAGGAATATATTTACTGTGTAACGACTTTTATTTTCAAAATAGTGGACAACATTACAACTCCATTTTTCAATCGGCATATCTCTCTTGACGACAAGTTAACACATCCCTGTACTTCCGATAAGCACTTTTCCAATTTGTCCGAAAAAAATCTGATGTGACTGTATTTTATTTCGCATGCCGCATTATGTCCGAAACGCAAAGACTGACACATTAGATTGTCTCTTGTTCTTCCTCCTTAGCTGACCCGCTCCAGTCATTCAGTGTATGAACTGGTGTACTTGATTCACTTGTCACAATAACAGGAAGGGGGACTCATGCAACGGATACACTGTGGTTTGATTAGAAGAAACTCAGACACAGGTGCTTCTGTTTGTGGCCGCTGTCCTTGTCTTGTGAGCTGAAGGATAAAACCAGCGTTTCAAGTAGGCACGCAGTAGCAACAAAGCATGACCTTTTCGTAGTTTGCGCTAGGGTACATTGAGGCGCATCACGTTTATTTGGTGTGTCGCAGCTAGTTAACTTTTTTAGACTAATTTCGTCCCTTTTTTTCCTGCACAATTCATTTTCAAGTATTTTACCGAACAGCTGCATGACAGTGGCCCCTAAGGGCTCTAATTTAAGGGTCAAACTTAGTGAACGTTGTTATCGGTAGTAAGTCCACTTCATATACGCACATTAATCTATTCCAATGAAACGTTAGTTACACCAATTAACTAGTTGAATACTGATCTCGGTGCAATTGGTTTCTAACTTCAGGTCTGCTTCACGTCACGAAAATTTCGTATCAATTTTTGCACTCGTTTAGAGACTGACAGAATAAAACACTCACGAAACAAATTCGGATACAGAAATCTTTGTTCGCTTGGTAGATAACGAAGCCAGCTCATTGTTGTTATGTTTAAACCATAATAATGTTTGATTCAAGGTCGGCGCTGTGACGGCGTTACTGCATTTTAAATAAGGACATGAACATCTTGTAACCCGCAATCAGTTCCTCTGACTATGTTGAACAAGAACAATTACAGCGGCATGTGTCCTAACGGGATCCTATTCGCATCGCAATAATGATAACATCGTTTACCAAAATGTCTTACTCCATGCAAAAGTCCACTTGAAAATACCAAAAACCTGTATCGTAATTTGAGAATTTTGTCACATGTTTAAGTTCTATCTTTGAGACTCATACACAACCAAACATTTTCGTTGTACGTCGAAAATACCGCTTTTGGCAAAATATTCCGTTAACCACAAGCTTTATGCAACCATTTTGCAAAACGGAGCGGCTGCCAGGAGGAAAAAACTAGAAGGTAAATCTAACGCCTTAATATGATAGCCTCATATTCCGCACATTAAGAGCTTACTATTTTTGACACTATTCCGCTGAGTTTCAGCCCATAATGATGGGTTATATATTTAATTCTAACACTAAACTTTTCAGTCACTCGCGCACAATAATCTCGATGGACGAAATAAGCCAGCACAAAACAACCTAAGCGACTTAGAAATCTTGATGAAGTAAACGCGCACAAGTCAGAGAGTCAGTTACGCCCAGACACGAAAATTCTGGCTTGATTTAGTGAGTAAGTCAGTGGAGTAAAATTATCCTAAATCTTGGTGTTTGGTGGCATACACTTGGTAGTAAACACAAAAAGAACCCAACTGGTTGTAAGAAAACCAGCTAAGAGGACACTAAAAAGCTCATATTGAAAAATCAGTGCCTGTCTGTATTCTCCCAGTATTTTTGACAACGGTTTACTACGCCACTTTTATAGTACTTTTCCTGCTGTTTCCGATCTAGATGTAACCGCCTTTTAGAGTGTCAATGTTTTATCTCACCTTGAAACATCATCTTGTGGCGTGAACTAGTAAGCTTTCACATACCTCGTTTAAGCCCGATAGTGGGTCTGTGCGGAATACCTGAGCCTCATGGCCTAAACTCAGCCAAGCACAAAAATGCGGTCGTGACGTCTGCGGCCAGGTAGTCATTGCAGATTTACTCGAGGAAACTCGTCAGAACGGTTCATCCATCTGTGGCGGAGAGGTATATCCCTAGACTTAATACAATCATCCGCTTCATACCTCAGCATGCCAAATGCAATCCCGAGGGACCAGTCAAGATTCATGTTTCATCAGATGCTCGTTCTGTCCAGTACGTATCGCCAATCACAAATTACAGTTTTTCTCGACCCTAGTAAAGTTTCGTAGCACGCGTAATAGCTAACCTCTTTATGTTATTTTGTGTTCCAAAAATTTTAACTGCTCTTCGCCTGGCCTAGGTTTTCAACAACTACTCTCAAATCTTTTCGACCATTCTTTCCATCTTTCACCTTGTATTATGACACTTTACTTTCGCATTTTTCAAACAAAGGAAACTTCGTATCACCAACTTGCACACAGGAAACATTACCACTAAATTCTGCATAGAACGGTTACCTTGCGACCATAAAACATATTTGAGTCGAGGCAACCCCTTTGTGTAGAGGAAATGGATGCATGCAGTTTTGTACTATTGTTATCTGTTAACCGGAATTACAAGTTATTTTGTACTGATGGCTGAAAGCGGCCTCCAAACATGTATCCACGTCAGTCCGAATCACATCACGCAGATTTCCTGTTTGCGCCATAAATTTTATCTCTATTGTTTCACTCGGCATAGAACAATTAGATCATTCACCAACCACTCATCCGGGTTACCTCCTGAGAAACAAACATGTTCTTGACTAATTGATTAATGTTGATTGGTGTCAAGTAGTTTCAATCATTCATACAAGCCTCCCGCACCTACAGAAACACTCCTTTCATTTTCTATTCTCAAAGGCCCTTGTTTACCGGAAGGTGATAGTTACTGCAGAGATCGCGTTCCAAACAGCATTTGTTTGCCCGAGAAGAATGAATGTTTCTGTAAACTGGGATACGTGGCAATACAAGAGGATCACGGCATCAGCTGCAAGACGCGTGAGTTTTTATGCAGTTTTGGGTAAATAGATACATTCAACATCCATAGAAAACATCCAACCCATCTTGATTCCGTGCAGCGTTCATTAGCTTCCACATATTATTTTCTGTCGACTTTTAGTAACATGGTCCTTATCTCGAAATATTTTGACCGGTGGATTAATGGATTTTTCCTATTTGTGACATGCACCGACAACTAACCTAATTGATTGAACAAAAAATGCATTGAAAACACGAATATCTTATTAACTTGTCGTGAAACGGTTCACTTTATTCACAGTTTAACATGAACCACAGTAAAAATTGCCAGCGATCACAGTAGTCAGCTTTTCAGTCGGGCATTTGTTATAGTATTAATCTGTGGTCCTACACGTGACGGACGCAAACAACGGAGTCTTAATAGCAATGTATAATGCAAAGTTGCCTTGCAGATGGTCCGCCGTCAGCTTGGTTCTGTTACACTGGAACGCGGACTATAAAGTAGATTCATTTTAGCTTTATATATACATCAACTCAGCTTGCAGGACATTGGTCTGTGTAACGTGTACAGTTTGGTATTTGAAACTTTAGTCCACTTAAGAATTGTGCATGCTCAAACAAGCTCCCAAAAGAGTACAAAAAAGCAGACTACTAACGTGCTTTAATCGATAATACGGTTAATGTAGCTTTTGGAAATGACCTTAATACTCAGCATAAAAGACCTAGTAAATCAGGTTTAGTTATTGCTCTAAATATCTGATCAAAGTGCATTCCGAATAAGAGTCTTGTCTTAGTATTACGTTACTCCAAATTCGTTAAATTCTGGTCCATTTACTACATGATTATAGCGATCTTTCTGGATTCCTGGATGCTTTCATAGTAATCTTCTGTGACTGAACTGCTACTGCTTTCGTATGTAAGCACCTAATCAAAGATAAAAACCTTTATTCAAATATGTTTCTCTTTCTTTCGAAATAACGAATGGAAAAAACAAAGCACGTAAATTAGTTAGCATTAATCATTTGTTAATTGTAAATTAAAAAACAGTATTGTTTATCTGTAATGAAATAGTTACACAGGAAATTGCTATTTCTCTTACTTTGCAGTGCTGACTGGCCTGAAATGCAAGGTGGATGCAGACTGTGTACATTTCAGCCATAGTGCCTGTCATCCCGGAGCAGGTTACTGCTATTGCCCTGCAGGCACAAGACTCGTGCTGCAAGAGCACGCATGCCGTACGTTCCATCTTTTCGTTTTCTCGCCGTAACGTTAAAGGCTGATTTATGGTGTACAGCAAAATGATTAGTTAAGGTGCATTTTTGTATCGCATCCGCTATCTTGCGATGTAGTCGGTCTTGGTATTTTATTTATCACCTATTATCTACAAAGGAAAACAGTCTCTGCTGTTGGCGTGACTTAACCGACATTCCTAGCTGACGGGAAGTTAACAGAGTTTTTATGGGGAGATTTTGTGTTTCGAACACACAGAACCCAATTTAAAGCAGTTTTTGCGCTCAAACGAAGGGCATGTATCGCTAACAAGGCCCTTCTCTGTCCCACCCTGTGCTTGACTGATCAAAGGTGGACTAATGGTAGTAGCACGCTCAGAGTTTGATGGACAGATAAGGTTTAAAATGACCCCATGAACCTAAAAAGTTTATTTCTATTCATTTAAGTGTATACATCACTCCCACTAAAGGTGAAATCCGAAGTGTCCGTACGCAAAGTTTCTACTCCGGTGGTCATCCCATTCCGAACTGATGCATCAATACAAACATCTCTGAATGTCTGAAACTCGTGATCAAAGTCCACAGACCGGTCACAAATTGGAAAAATCCAACGCAAGCATTAACAAATGCATTAGATTTTATGGTGTGCTGTCAATGTTAGTTTCCGCCAACATCTATCTTCTGAACGACCCACTCCTTTGAGTATTCGGTCTAGAACGTCACGCGCTGTTGCATAAGGTGTAAAATTACAGAGATTAGTCAATCTCGAATGCATCTGCAGGCTACACTTGGTAGTTACAAATTGAGATAAATGTAGGAAATGTTCACATGATGGTTCCGTTTTTTCCAATTCTGTAAATTTACTGACCATTTTGGATAGCTGACTAGCTGACTAAGGCTGACCCCACATTTTCAAATAGAGGCTGCCGTACTGTTATCACTTATGCTCGGATGCGTTTCTTGCGGAGTACGAATATTGATAGCTTATGTGGTTGAGTACTCAACTTTTATACATCGTGTCATTTTCACAAATTTAGAGCTGTTATGAGGTGTAAAAATCAAACAAATCCCGTCAAAATAATTTTCTCAGACAAGGGACGGGCCTAGCTGGAAACCGAAGAGCATTCTTTAGAGAGTTGGTAGCATTCCACTCGGTGAGATTTTCATAGAAAGCAAACAGTTGTTTAACTGCTTTGTGCACTCAAGCAACTTTGTGCCTTAGTCACTAAGCCAACTTAAAGTGATCGCCCAAGGGTGAAAATAGCCCAGCTAGAGGTTTTTACGTTCACTGATAAAAGTGTGCTCCTTTGTGTATGAGCCTCGAAGTTTGATTTAGTTGGAGAGATCTTTTAAAGCATATCAAACCAATAAATGGCTATCAATCAGTGATAAGTTTGGAGGGCTTGATAGCAGTGACTGTAAAACGTGCATTCCAACAGTATCCATTTGAGTCTGAGTTGATTGAAAATACTTAATTTTGACACAGCCGTAAACATGGATTTCGGAAAACCAAAATCACACCTGGACCAATGTGAGATCAAATAAGGACGCGCCACATAGAAGGGGAAGACCAAGCACCAAAATGATGATATATGTGCGTATGCATCCCAAACAGTTTCCCTCCGAAAACAAAATAATCAAAGAAAGCTAGGCTAATATTCATATCTACCCAATCATTTAGTACGAACTCTGATAAAAAGATTAGTTTGACTTGGTATCTCCGTGACTAAAAAGTATTGAAATCCCATCAGCATTTCCCTAGTTGTCACTATTCACTCATATCACGGCTCACGAAAGATAAAAACTGTGAAATCGTGGCTGAGTCCTCCTTGGATTCCGCTTTTTTGGGTGCAGTGTCTTCATCAGGCGTTGCAGCAAACTTAGGGTTTGTAATAGCATGAGTAAGGATGATGGACTGTTAAAATAAACCGCCATAGCCCGGCCCATTTAAAATAGATTCTCTAAAAATAAGCAATGATATAGCTCGTTAGTAAGGCGGTAATCTCTATCTTTTGAACTCCTGATGACTCTAAGATTGCTTTGATTATCATTTGTCACCCCAAAACAAAATTGATCAAGCCGATTATTAATCACAAGTTTTTCAATTGGTACCATAGTGCATGGTTTTTTCGTTCACCCATGAGGAAAATAGAGTGGTGACTATTGGAAAACATTTTTCAACCGCTGTTACAATTTATCCGCAGTTTTTGTGTTTTTTAAACATTAAATAGCAGTGTGACTTGGGTGCGCACCGTTTAGCACGATACGTATGTCTGGTCTGAAGCCCTGTTCTGGAAACCAGATGGTGTAACATTGTGAGCCCTCCCTTTTGATCTCAATCGTAATGATGCCAGTGGTGAGGTAATTCTCCTGTATTAATTAGACTCACCAGTGTAACGGTATATACCGCACAACAAACGTTTCATGTAACGGCGAAAATAGATCGCGTTTCATGAACTTCCTCTCAAAAAGATCTAAAAATAACTGATTCATAGTGTACATATAACACAGCCTTCGTTCACAAGCTGTCCTTAAGCATCACTAGAACTAACTGAATATATGTCGTTTCCACGCAGTCATAGCGTCATTTGTCCTGCCAACAGCAGACTACTTCATAAATCAAGTCAGAATCTTAACTTTGGTTGATAAAGCTTTTAGAGATATTGGCAACAAAGACGACGAGCAGTTGGACAAATGTCCTATCCAAAGGAACGCAGTCCAGCGGCAATGTCATCCATCAGACGGGGGAATTTGGAAGAGTTGTGGTTGCTTCGAGCCATTCGTCGGATGATCGCGGCAGAAGCAGGATTTTATCACAACACTACACAGTAGATTTACAACCATCGTGGAATGTTGAAGTGCAGTTTGTTTGACCGAGGGTAGACAGTTGTCTCGATTAGACCAGCTGTGTGTGTACACATTGGAAGAGAACTAGTATTCTAAACCGCCCGAACTTTGGTTAAAAACGCCAAAAGAGGTGTACTATTCTAGCACAGTGAAAAGTATTAGCAGGGCATCAGATGAAGCGGGTCGAAAAGGGCCACGTTTATATCTAGTCTACATCAGTTCTAGAGCAGCCCCGGCTAATTAGTTTCAAAAGATGGTGGAAATTTGGCAGTTCCCATAATTAACGCCGTATGTGTTTGAAAAATTATTCTACAAGATATTCTTCGGTGTATGGTAGGATTCCACTGTGCACATAAAGACGGAATCGTTCCTGTTGGCAAAATGGAGGTTTACGGCAACAACGACTACTGACTATGCCTGTTACAGTGTCAACTCTCAATTAGGAGGTGAACAGAGTGAAACCCCGTTGTTTACATTCTTGAAAGTCGCTAATTACTACAAACTAGCTCAGATGAATCAAATTACAAACAGTATGTGAAAGCTACACAAGTTACATTCAACAAAAGACGTTTCCAACGGCAAAGCCATCTGCGCTCCATTATAAAAAACGAGCAATTTAACACGTCCATAGGTGACTGATTGTTGAGAAACCCAGATTGCAAATGCCCAAAGTTAAATGCTGCGGCAATACCCCGAAAACTGAAAGTATCGGAAATATACCTTTCACACTAGATAAAATTAGCGAGCGTATAAAACGTCATCTAACATCTAGAATGCATGGTTTCTGCTATTCAATTGACCCAGTCATTGTCCCCCTAATAAATTGAGTTCTGAAGCTAGCAGTCAACCTTTGTTTGTGTCTTCGCATTTGAATGCTTGGTCACCTACATAGATAAAAATGGACAACGATTTCAAAGAGAGACTGTGGTAACTGTCGTCAGAAATTCGAAGCCATTTGAGTGAATAAAATGCACCGGCACAACACAGTTTAACAAGAACACCATCTTGCGATGCAACTTCATCAGATGCCCACCTTACGACTGAAATCCATTACTGCAGTGATATGACCGCATCTGACGTCGCGCTTGGGGCGGATAACAAAAGAGTTGGTGTTTTTCGTGACACGGATAATAACAGACAGGAATAAATGCGTGCATGCAAAATCAACTCAGTACTTTTTTGGTAACAAAACCTGTTTTTAACTATTGGTTGCATTTTTAAATGAACGTAATTCGCGCAAAATTCCGCTGTTTTGTTGTGTTTTTTAAGTCTTTATGTGGAAACGTCTGTCTGCTAAGTTTCTGATGCCATCATACATGTAAAACGAAGTATCCGTCATGCGACAAAAATCCAAAAATTCAAACTTATTTATGTGTGCTTGTAGCCATATCAGTGCCTCCGTTTAAAGTGTGTCTGTAATGGCTCACAATGTTCCATAATTTTTATTCGGAAATATGTGTGTATGTGGCTATTCAAGATCATAAGACAAACTTTTGGAAGACGTCAAAAACCTCATTTATGTAAGAAGCCCGAGTGAAGTTTCGTCTACGACACGTTGTTCAGCGTGAAGGAACTGATGAATGTAGATGGAGTCAACATGACACTGCCTTGCCTTTCATCACTCAACGTCTGGCTACTTTAATTTTCGGGAGCACTTATTAGCGGTAAATGAAGACCAAATTTAGAGCAACGGGATGTGACTTCAAAGTCGTCGTAGTACACGTCTAGTCACAATTAGCGTAACTATTTCTCCAACAAATCGAATAACAATTTTTTCTATTTTTGCTGCTTTGCGCAAAATACATGACTAAAAAATTGTGTTTTATCTACTGGTACAAATCACGGAAATTTTCGCCTAATCCACATCAGCTCAATATTGAACTCTTGTCCTGATCACAGTTTATTGTGCAAAAAATATGTGAAATACCAGCCTACACTTGTCAAAACATTATGCAAATTTCTTTTCACAACGAGAGCCAGCTACCTGTATCTGTGCACGAACAGCAGAAATTCTCTAGCTTTTTTGAGACATTATTACTTCTCGACTGAATTGGATTACTTTATGGACAAAGTAGCCAAGAAACCTAAGCCAAGCTTAATTAAAAAACATTACAAATGACATTGTTAGGGTTTTTGCACAGTGGGTTTCTGAAGGACGAATAATTGGTCTTTATTCACCACAAAACTA